AATTTAAAGTTTGAATTTTCTAGAACCCAATTACAGATTTAGATTGGTTGTCTTCGATCGTCTTCATTGAAACGTTAAGATTATACCAATCAACTATGTGACTAGATAGATGGATGGAGACATGAAAACATAGTCACAAACTCATTTTATCTTAAACGACTCTCTCTGCAGTGGAGGGGTTAAGTCATATAGCAACGCATATAAAATGAGACTGAGCAAGTTGTCAAGCAGAGATTTATTAGAGCACGCAGATTTTCTTTAATTGAAGTCTTTGGGAATCTTTTGGAATCTTTAGAAATCTTTGGAAATCTTTGGAAATCCTTCAGAATCTTGAAATCTGCTTTTTCGCCCTTAGGGGGGGGGCCTTAAGATGACAATGCTAATTTTTGACTGTTCGTCTTCCTAGCCAATAGAAAGGATGTGAGGGTGTGGATGTGTGGGTGCGTAGTGTGGGTGTCGAGTGTGGGTGGGCGTCGCTGTGGGTGCTAGTAAAAACCAGGCACACCCACACCCACATCCTTTCTCTTGATCAGGATTCGTGTTATTGTGAGAGATAGAGAAAAATTACTGATAGAAAATTTTGTAGTGCAATTCCTGTAGGATTAAATTTTCAAACATGATGGACTTTTCCCTTTATTTTAGCAGACGCTGAGTCACCTGATTCATTATGACACTTCGAAGCTTCATCTATTCTGTCTGTCTATCATGGTCTATTGAGTGGAATGTAGGTATGTGACAGCTCCATCCAGTTCACAATATCTGAATTGAGTTGCCACAGGCTCAGTGGGAAGTCCACTTTTCTTCCTATAGAATTCAACGCTCATTATCAATCGTGTTCCACAAAAAATACGAACAGAGAGTATGCGAGAACTATAGACAGTTTGACATCAGTCATTCGCCTAGAAAAACTTACCTGTTAATGAAAAAAACGAAATCGAAAATGAAGACGATTCTGCCTTCTTTCCATTTTTATATGATTTTGCTTTGCAACGAAATTCGCATTTTTGTCACAGAGGAAAAAAACAAAGACGAGAGAATACTCACAAAAACTCACCTACTGAAGTCAACTTCGCTTGAAGAGAGAGAGTTATTAGCTTTTTCTCTTCCTCTCACATAGTCGGTTTCTTTGAGTTTCATTCCATGGAGTGTTTTGCTCTGTATCAGAAGTTCTGTGCTTGTCAGAGGAGAAAAAGACAGAGCAGGAGAAAACTTACAGAAGCTTACCTTTGCCATATATGTAATACTTAAGACTTGAATTCAAGTATTCAATTATTCAATTATTCAAGTATTCAATTATTCAACTATTCAAGTATTCAACTATTCAAGTATTCAACTATTCAACTATTCAACTATTCGAGTATTCAACTATTCAACTATTCAAGTATTCAGCTATTCAACTATACAAGTATTCAACTATTCAAGTATTCAACTATTCAAGTATTCAACTATTCAAGTTTTCAACTAGGGTGTGGGTGTGGATGTGGATAAAATGGACACCCACACCCGACAAAATTTGAGAAACATGACAAGTAAATAATGATAGAGTGTGGGTGTGTGTAAACTGAGAATGTCAACAACTTCCAAACGCGAACACTCACACCAATATTCACCCACATCCACACCCTACATTGAGACCGTACACCTACACCTACACCAACACCTACTGTTTCCTCTTTCATCATATAATTACTTTCGTACTAATAGTTACCTTTATCGGAAAAATGAAGGTGAAATTGGCTTGCTTGTTTTTTCTTTCATTCATTCTGATAGGCGCCAAAAATTTTATACAAGCAATAGAGTGAAACAACGCTTTCCGTTTATTTTTTGCTGATTAGTTTTTCTCAGAATAGTTCGTCGTTTTTCCGAGAAAAACCTAACATTCTCAACGAGAATGCTAATTGAATCCATTTCTTGTTATTTTAGTTATTGTGATAGTTGACGAAGACTTGAAGGAAGCAAGAGAATTGAAAGATATGTTTTTCTGTTCTTTTCTTTTGTTACTTTTTTCCAGCATAGTTTCTAATTGTGCTTAGAAAAAAACCCAATAGTGTAATGGAGAAGGTTTGTCAAATTTCACTTTTTTTTCTTTTTCCTATAACTATAGAAGATTTTACATAGGCAAGAGTGTAAAAAAACACTTTCTGTTTATTTTTTGCTAATTAGTTTTCCTCAGAAAAGCTCGTCATTTTTCCGAGAAAAACCTAACATTCTCAACGAGAATACTAATGAATCCATTTCTTTTTATTTTAATTATTGTGACGGTTGGCGAAGACTTGAAGGAAATAATAGGATTGAAAGATATGTTTTCCTGTTCTTTTCTTACGTTTTTCCAGTATAGTTTTTAATTGTCCTTAAAAAACCCAATAGTGTAACGAAGTTTGTGCAAGTTAGCTTTTTTGAATATTCCTTATTTCTTTAATTGTCGAAGATTTTATACAGGCAAGAGTGTATAAAAACACTTTCGGTTTTTTTTCCTAGTAGGTTTTTCGAAGAATGGCTTGTCGTTTTTCTAAGAAGAATCTTACAGTGGAATCGAAAAAGCTAATGAGGTCTACTTCTTTTTTATTTTCATTGCTCTGATCGGCGTTGGACATTTCATAGACATCATGGAATGGAGGAACACCATTTTCTCTCCTTTGTCTCAAAAGCTATATGCGAGTGCTACTTGTGGGTGTGGGTATGGGTGTGAATGTGGGTGTGAGTATATCTATTTTCAACACCCACACCCACACCCACCCACACCCACACCCCACACCCCACACCCCACACCCACACTCTTCACTTTTTAAAGTCAAATAGTAGGAAATAAAGTTGAAAAAACATAAGTACTATTTTTTATTGGTTGCCATTTATGTGCTAAGTAAAAATATTAAAATGCTAAGCTGACTTGAGGGTGTGGGTGTGAATATTAAAGTCAAGTGGACAATAACACTAATATTCACAGGCACACACACTCACACTCTCACTCCGACATTCACACCCATACACATGCACCCACACCCACTCCCGAGAAGTGTAGAACGACTATAGTTTATAGTTCAAAGGTAGGGCACGTGATATTCTATTCTCATTTGCACGTCACTAGCAATCTTACCTATACAAAGACACACATACGAATCACATCGCCGAATAATGGTTCAACGAATACAATCATTTAAGAGAAACTATATAGCTGCGTAGCAGGCATATGACGAGAGACAGAAAATAAATGACTAACACATGTATTTTGTATCTACCATACTGTTGGGGGCTTCTTTTTTCGACCCTTCTTCCCGCTCACATCCAACGAGAAAGACTACTAATGAAGCAGAGCAGAAAAAGAACGATGAAAAAACAAAATCAAAAACACAAACAGAAAGAAAAGTGATACGAATAGCCGAAATGATTCACCAGCACGCCTGCACAATCGTATCACCGACATCAATATTAGTCCATACATTGAAACAGCTTTTTTGAAACCGAATCTTTTAAAACTATGATTCTTTTAAGACTTTTCTCATGAAGCCTCTTGCACATTGTACAAAAATAGGCCTCTGATTTTAATAAAACTTCCAGCGTTTGTATGGCTTTTAATTCTAACGGTATCTATACCCTCAAGACCGCTGCTAGCAATCATTAAGCAAGTATGTGACCACTTTTTATACATGTTTGTGGCCAACAAGCAAATTGAGAACATCGCTCATTTCGTTTCAGTATAAATATTTATCGAACTATGCAACCTTAATGATCGATTGAAGATAACAACTAATGAGATGTCTTTTCTGTATTCTGAATAGATAGAAGATTTCTTCTTTCTAGTAATACATACTATCTTTGTGTATGTATGCATGTCTATATAGCGATGGTGCGCGTCTATTGTACGATGTGAATGTCCAGGTTCTATCACAAAAGAGAAAGAGCAAAGTCAAACGCACGCTCATACTCAAACCTTGTTTTGCAAACAAATCTCACACAAATGAAGATGATGCGAAAATGGAAATTCTCAACAGTTTCGACACATTTTCTATCGTATTCAAGTAGATTAATGAAGAAAATGATTTTGAAGGACTATTTTATTTGCACTCTATATAAGAAAGTAATCGAAAAACTTCTCCCTATGATGACAGTTGCGCTTTGTCAATATTTGTTATTTTGTATGCCTATTCTTTCACTCAAGGTTGTGAAGAACTATTCAACCTACTCAATTTGTTTACTTGCAGTTGCGCTAGTATACAAAATTATTATTCAGAACAAGCGTAGAAATTCTAACAATTTTTATTCTCGTACCAATATGTATCGAATACCAAACTTTGATGCTTCGCTGAAGGCAACAATCAATGAAATATCTTTTCTCTTTTTGGAATTGATAGAAAATTTCTTAGTTCTACGAATTCACACTGTTGATCGTTTGTAGGTAGGTGTATCTATAGCAATGATGTGCGTTTACTTTGCGGCGTGCATGTACATGTTTTGCCAAACAAAATGAGGATCAAATTCAAACGCAAACGCAAACCTACATCAAAGACTCGCATTTACCCAACGCCCACACACAGACTCACACCTAAACTCGAAAGTGACAAGCACACCTAGACCGCAAACCTCTGTCAAGATTCGCACATCTCACACTCACTCGCACAGCAATATCTACACCGAATCTTATCGTTTTATTATTGAATATTTTTTTATTTGCATTCCTGCCGCCGCATTTTCATTTCAAGGTCAAGCCGTGAAAGGAGAAGAAAAAGGATATTTACGCATCTGCTTACAAGAAGAACCACTGGAGAAAAAAAAATGGAATTTTTTTTCTCTCTCTCATCCACTTTCTTTTTCTTTGCGACTTTTTTCGACAGCTTTGAGTTATTTTGCCATTTTTTTATTTTGAGATACGAGATTTTCGAAGTGTATGATTCGTGTATTTACTCTATCGAAAGTTCAAATATACTTTGTGAAAAACAGTACATCGATCTCTCATCATTCTGATTATAATTTGTAGATTTAGTTCTAACAACAATACGTTTATAATGGAGAGGTCTAGATGTGATTATTCACAACCTCGTTATGATCGACCATTAACTGCTGCTATAACACAAACATGTAAACCTGAAACATCAGCTTGTTTTAAAGAAACATCAGCTTGTTTTAAAGAAACATCACCTTGTTATAAAGAAGTATCACCTTGTTTTAAAGAAACATCACCTTGTATTCAAAGTGATTTCGTATTTGCTCATCATCCTCGAACTCTTGCGTTTGGTCGAAAAGTCAGACAAGATCATTTCGGTATGTTTAAATTTCAAAGAAAAGAAAATGCTCTTTGAAATAGTTTTGTAATTATTAAATTTAACAACAAACAGATGTCTGTCATCCAACTTATTCGTATGGTTCATGCTATTGTTCCACACCTGTGTCATATAAACCGATGTGCCGTTGTGGTTCAAGTTGTTACTGTGATAATATGGGTAAAAATGAAATAAATTAATTTATAATTATTCAATAGATTGAAATAACTTAGGAAAGATAACCTATAGAGATCAACGATGTCGACCTGCTCGTGCTACGTTTACATGTCTTAGGGAATCAGTGCCAATTATTCAACGAGTATGCGTACGGCCTTGCCCTTCATCTTGTTTTGATTTACGAAAAAAAGAAAAAATAAGTAAGTAATTAGCAGATTTGTCGTTCGAAGGTCATCAATAGAGAACGTACGAAAAATGAAAGATGAGACGTCAAAACCTAACAGAGCGAAGGTTGAGATAAAACAAAAGCGAATTTTCTAGAGAGAACTTTTTTTTTGGTAATTTTTCAAAAGAAAAAATTTCAAAGTGGACATTCACGATGAGGGAATCGAATCGACCAAAACTGCATAGGGTAAGACAAAGAGGATAGATACATTGTACAAATAGACGAACATTTGTTTAGAAATAAAAATCGTGCTTTTTCAAGATTTAACTAAGAAAATTGAACTGTTCAACAAACTAAGTACATTTTCTCAATCTCCAAGCCGAACTCTTTACAATGCTTTGATTTGTGAATTTAGTTTTTGATTGAAAAATGAGATCATAAAAAGGCAATTGATCCTTACGTTTCTCCAGCGCTACACCAGAAAACATACCCACATTCACAGTATTTAAATATTTAATTTCATATTGAATTTTTCATTTTAAATAGTCACTCGAGATTCTTATCGATATGAACATCAAAAAGGATTCAAAAGTCCTACAACTCACGGTTAGAATATGAAAATCTCCTTTCGATAACTGATTTCGATTACAAATACTAGAAACAACTACTACACATACGGTCACGAACCTACAGGCGCAGAAATCCAATCAACGTAATTATTAGTTTTTCTCTCAGCTTCTGCTTTCTTCTTCAACTATAATGCTAATCAAATACTTCTTACTATATTCTCAACCATAGACGAAAAATTGAGCAATGATCAACGAACAGTATATAACAAAAGCAAGAACCGGCATCATATCATCGACGAATTATTCTAGAGCACAGCGAGATATTTTTTATTTTCACTCTTAATTTCATATTTCTTTCCATAACCTTTTTTTTACTATGAATCGAATATTTTTGTTTGTTTTTCGTCACATTTATAGCAATTGTCAGTGGACAGCAAACAAGTTGTGGCGACAAAGAAAGATACACCGAACATCATCAAACATATTTTGAACCACGCAGTAAGATGTTTTCTTTTCCTTCTCAACTGCATCCTCCAAGAGGCTGCCTAATTCGAGCTTGAGTGTAGTTGAAATTTTCGAAGAAAATACCCGACTCCATTATAGCAGACAAGCAGAAAAATACTTTTCTAAGTTATGAATTATAATTTGGAAGCGACTTTGACAACCCTGCGCAGAACCGTAGAAATCAAATATTTCTTGCTTCAGATTTTGTACAGTGAATCATAGAAGTTTAGTAATTGATGTACTCCAACTGACCTTTCATATTGTCGTTGCAGCGTCGGGACTCGAAACGTCACACGAAGAGCCCCAATCCGTGCTCGTGTTTGTGTATTTCGATTTATCCACATATACGACAGGAGCAGTTCATGGGATAAAAAACTGACTATTGTCGTATGCCTATCGCTCACTCATATGTCATGAGAGTAGTGTTTAACGTTATGGGCTCCAGTTCTTATTGACAGTCAACATCACCGTTACATGTGTATCTTTCTTCTATGAAAATCTAAAAATGAGTTTAACTTAAGTCACTGCTTATAGAAGAAAAAAAACGTTTTTTTTTCAAATTTCATAAAATAATTACTTTAGGCACGACATCAAGATCATACAATACATATTTGGACTCTGAAAACAATTATAACACTCCTTCAACACAATTACAACAACATGAAGTTACCTCAAACACTTCCTAAAGATTCGGGTCATTGAGTTTGGCATCCAAGTACGCAACAACACCATATATTACAAACTTTATAGGATGTCGGACTAATCTTGAACCTTGATGAACCCAAATTGTCATAATTTTATAATGAACAATTTTGCTTTTACTTTCCAAATTTTCCATCACTTCTTACTTTCTTTTGTGTAGATATCCATTCTTTCTAGAGTGTGGTTTTGGGTATGGTGCGTTGGTGTGGGTGTGCGAGTGTATGTGGGTATTGGTGTGAGTAACGCGAATTTCACACTCATACCCACACCCTTGTAAAATTCAAGCAAAAAGCACAAAATTCAATGAAAGTTTCGAAAAATGTTAAATATCCTAGCCTACATATCCTTTAAAAATTCTCCAGTTGTTGGATTTTATTTGGTCGATAAAAATGTACCAGACGGAAAAAATGATTCCATCACATTTGAGCATATCAAGTAAATGATTTTAATCGAGTGACACTGATGTGGTTCAATGTACTCTTTACCATACTCTGATGCCTTCCCTTCTGATTCATGTTTTCATGAACATCTTCTTCCAATCTGTTCTAAAGCGTCTTTCCTCTTATCAATCTTGATATTTTTCGACAAGAAGTATACTGCTATTTATGAAAGTATGATGGTAGGTATGGGTAGATAAAAGCTGTAAACGTATTCATATTTTCGTGTCTATCAAAGTGCTTCATTAAAACGGCATTACTTATTTGTTCATCCAGGTACAAATAATAGTGCATGACAAAGTACCAAATGAACGGAATTGATGTACGTATAGAGTAGCAATGCAAAGTTGTCATACGTTCGACAAGAATTGCTCTAACAAACATAGAAGAAACAGAATATATTGTGTTACAAGTCATGAGTGTTGACGTGTCTAATAATTTTATCCTCGGAAACGTTTTTTAATACGGTGTGCGTGTTTTATTCAATAAAAAAATACTGAGTAAATACAACAATACGTTTTTTCAAATCTGGAAAAGACGAATAAAAAAACTGAAAACGTCGCTTACTTTGCAGTTTTACGCTTGATTTCTGATCGACTTAGAAGTAACTATACAATATGACGAATTGAAGGAGTAAAGATCTTCAGCTATCTCTATCTCATACACATCACAAGCTCATATATGAGAAAAATAAGAAAGAAACAAGAAGTGAGGGCGCCAATGCGCAAGTAATATCTATATCGACATATTCGACATAGCGAGAGAAATTCTGAGTCATATTCATTGTTGATAATTAAGAGCAAAATTGAATTTCGAAGATTAGTACAAATACTATTTGACATATTTGTCGGACACTGTACACAAACATAAAATATCGGCATTGTTAAGTTTCATCATGAGACCATGTAAAATCTATACATATAAAAAAACCAAAAACAAGTTAGAGTGAAAAAAAGAATTTGATCGATGTGTCGGAATTCTTCATTATTTTGAATCATTATTGCTCAAAATATAAAATTAGTTTATCACTGAAAGAATAGAGTCAGAAATCGAGATATTCTTCTAAAGAAAATCTATGATTAATGTTTTTTCGACATGTAGTATTCCATTCTGGTTCAAATTTTCGGTTCGGTGTATGATAGAGTTCATAAAATCTCTTTATGGACGATGTTTCAAATTGAAATGACACGGATTTTTTTCGGTGGATTGCGGTTATTTCCGAAGAACAGAATCATCGACATGAGTGGATTTTGCCTAGCTTTAGTAGACTCTATCTGATGATACAAATCTTATTTCAAAAGCTTTTGATCATCTGAAGAGATTCCTCGTAAATCTTTGTACTTGATTTGTGACTTCGCGAACTCAGTAGAGTTGAGAGTACAATACTTACATTGTAAGTATTGTACGATCGGTGTATCACCGAATGATAAATTGAAAGAGTCAAAAATTGATTTAGTTTCTTGCTAAATATTTAAGCTCGTTTTACCATCGTCTAAAAAGTGCTTACATTGTAATAAGCAATGAACAAGTTTGTTTATTCATCGATTATCCAGAACATCAAAAGAAAACAAGATGGGAGCATGTGATAAAATCATCAGTTCATATGTCGCATGTGGCGGTGAGATAATGGTATTTTATAAGTTGGTTGAGAATTTGTCGAATTCAACCATGACTTCATCTCGAATTGTCTTTCGATCATAGAAAAGATTGTGTGTAGATATTTATTAGGCTAGAAATCCTTTCCTGCTCTTGATTTTTTATGAAGGCCGTTGCGAAATCTGCGAATATGTACAAATGCATATGACATCTTCGTCATCAAGTCCGTCACCATCAAGAATCTTGAAAAGAAGTGAGTATTTGCATCTGCTCAGAATATCAATGCGATTTATGTACGAAACATCGAGAATAGCTAATCAAGCAACTGGATGAGATTATTTTCGATCGAGAACAAAATAATTGGTCAGTAGGTGAAATAAATACAAAATCAGTAAACTGAGTGAATGGCCAGTAAATAATTTAAATGATCAGTTAGTGATGAATTAGGTTTTACTAATAAATTTAAAGGTCAGTAAATAAAATTTATTAATAGCTAAATAAATCAAAGGACAACTATAGAAATTAAAATGCGTTATAGTATGATTCATTTTTCTCTTCTCTTCTACTCTTGTAAAGTGCCGATAATGCGATTTCCAGTAAAAGCTTTTTTTGCGATTTTTCTTACATCATCTGATAGAGCTTGAGCCGCTGATCATGAAAAAAATACTTTTTAGCTTTAGCAAATGCTTCCTTCCGGTCGAAAAATACGAAGTACTCGAAAAATGTAGATTTTCGAAAAAAACTCATCCTTTATCCAAATGTGCAAAACTTTCTACTTTATTCTTTGTTTTTTGCTTCTGAAAATAATTTTTTCAGATTCAGTATCAAAAACGGAATAGAAAAAAGTTCTTAAATCGACTCCAAACTCCAAACTCTATTGATAGTGACACTTCAAATTGGGCCCAGTGTACCATATATAGGTCAATTTTGTAAACCTATCTAGTTTTTGTACGTAATTGATGAAGCCAAATATTTTATGTCATTCGACCCATCATATCACCAAGCAAAAAGTTACGTACCCTTTTTTTTTCTTTCCTTTTCTATCTTGAGAAAACCGGTTTCTATTTATATCAAAGGTATCTTAGGCGGTATTCAACAGTTTTCGCATTCAAATAAAGCTTCTAGTCACAAACTAAATGCAAATTCGGAATCAGCACAAAAAACTGAGTCAGATGACGTATTTTTCAAAGAAATTCGATAACTTTCATTTTTTGACTTATGTACTAAAATTCCGGTCTCCCCAATACCTGAAAAAGTTAATAAAGGGTGTGAGCGTGAGGTGTGCGTGTGCATGTGGGTGTGGATGTAGATCAGTCTATGACCCATACCCATACTCACACCGACACCCCACACACCCACACCCAAAACTCATCCTGCGTTCTGCCTCCAGAGCGACTTTTAATTACATTCTTAAAAAGGGTAAAGTGTCGTCTAAATATGCGATATGATGTCAAGTATCATACAAGTACTCTGTTTATAGAAATTATTTATAATGGTCATGTTAATTAATCTAACTACACATCTTCTGGTAGACATGAAATGAAACGAACAAAAAGTGCCTGAGATTTATAAGAAATAAAAAAAATCAGAGTATAATCGCACTAATAAAGAATTTACAATTTTATTGATACTGAAGATGAGATAAAATATCAAATATGAAAGTAATGCTTACATATAAAAAAACAATTTCATTAGAAAATCTCAAGACACTTTTTGCAACAGAAATGAAAGAAACAGAAAATAATACTGAAATTCATAAAGATGGAGTAGAAGAAATACCAAGATAAAACGTTTTCGATGACAAATAAATAAAAACTTTTTAAAATTCTTGCACTTGAATGTCCTGTCCGAATGAATAAATAATGAATAGTCAACTTAACTGGTGATCGGTCACTTCGTCGTCCAATAATTCATTACAAAAAGAAAATTGTTGTAGTCAATTCATCCCATCTCTCTTGTTAAATTCTCTTTCTTTTATAAAACCAAACCAAATAAAATAAAATAAGTGAAAATTTTCTAAAAACTGTTTACAATAGCAATACACAATTGATTGTTGTAAGACAAATGGCTGCAACTGGAAAAACAATTAGGTTCCGTTTGTTTTTTTAGCTTTTTCTTTTGTTCATTACTGTTTCATCAAAAAATTAGCTCTAATCGATCAATTAAGAATGGATTGTATCAATTGATGAGGTTTTGGCACTGATCAGAAATAATACCTAATTAATTATAGATGGAGTCATCAAGAAAAAATTTTGGTATAAAGCAGATTTAGATACATAAATAAGCAATTATTACGATAAAGTTTGAATATAGTGAAAAAAAATGAATTTTTGCTTTTTATTTCACATGTGTAGTTTAACAAAATTTACAGATTACTAGTATAGGGAATCAATTTTCGTCAATTTAGAGATGTGACAAAGCAAAAAACGTGGAGGTATCACGAAGTTTTTTTCGTGCAGGAAAAAGCCTAGAGATCACTTTTTCAAAATGTATGAGAGCGCCGATCCATATTTTATAATGTTTTGATCATTTTTTTATGAGAAAAGTAGTTTCATTAAAGCAAAAATAGAAGCTTTTCAAACATAGGAGAAATGTGGTGGCATCCTTCTGCATCCCATCGTTACCACATCCCTGAGTCACTTAAAGATATTTTCAGCTTATCACTTTGATTATATTCGCTTTTGTTATAGTTTTCTTTTTCGAGGAAATGAGACCTGATCTTTTTCCAATTAAAGCTATTTACCCTACAAAACTCAATCGTCTATTGTTATCATACGCAACTTTTAGAAATTTTTCACTCATTTTGCTTTATTTGGATTGGTTATAGAAAAAACCAGAATTAATTAAGAGAAATACAATGAATTGATTGCAACGAACTGTCATGTGACGAAATGATCGCGATAAACAGAACGAGACAATATGTCGTGCGACGTATTGTATCAGTGGGCCCCATGTAAAAAAATTAGGGGGTAAAATCAGATTAAAATCGATTAAAAATAATCAAAAAAATCAAAATTTCTTATATGATTTCGATTATAATCGATTTTAATTGATGCAAATCGATGAAAATCAGTTGAAGCTTTTTTATGCATCACGAATAAAAATCAATTAAAATCGATTTTTTTCATCAAATTTTAATCGATTATAGTCGAAATTAATCAGAATTAATCAAAATCATGTATGAAATTTTGATTTTTTTTTGACTAAAAATCGATTAAAAGGTGTGATTTTAATCTAATTTTATCTCTAATTTTTTTTACATGGGATGTGGGTGTGGGTATAGTAATAAAGTATCACGCCAACACCAATATCGACACCTAAATATATAGGTTTTTTATTAGCTTCCGGCGATTTCTTTATGCAAATAAGTGTATGAAAGACTGATTAAATTTATATTTTTCTCACTTATCTATGCTAGACGAAATTCTTTAAAAAAACAAAGCAAAACAGAAAATTAACAAACGATTATGAAACATTTTCAACATTTAAAAATGAATTACAGACAATCAAATACTTTTTTTTTCATCATCTGTAGTTAATGTTCGAACTCTACATATAAACGTTTATTGTATGGAAAAATTTGTCTTTCTTCTTAAGTAATTTATTGAGATTAAAAAGCAAATGAAAAAGAAGTATAATTTGAATATTATGTTCACATTTAAGAACATGAAAATTCTTCTTTGCTCATACCACTTGTACATGTGCTTGCATCCCATGTATATTTCACCTTGCTATCTTTAACAACTTTCCCGCAGCCAGTAGTTGTATAGGCTTGCATCATAAGTTTACATGCCTGCTCACAATTCTTCATAGCAACATCGTCGCATCCACAAAGCTTGCATGATGAGATCTCCCATGAATGATACGGGAAATGAAGGTTGTGTGAAACAATTTTGCATTTACATCTATATCAAAGCATTTCGATTTTTTTTTCAATATCTTCTACATTCAAAAATTGGCTTTCACTTACTCTCGATTTATAAAATTACTCTTGGCACTTATAAAGAGCGTAAATACAACAAGAAGAAAAAGCTTCATCGTTGGTTTTGATTTGAAAAATATATGTAAATCGTATTTTTATTCTTGCATTTATATGCTATACACTCGAGCTGATTCATGATTATTTGTTTTTTTTCTCTTTTTATCGTATTATAAACTATCGATATTATGATTTGTAAGTGTATGATTCGTAGTAATGCCATAGAACTATAAAAATGGTTGATTTATAACAGTCGATATTAAATGAAAATAAAAAAAAGAGAAAATTCAAGAACGAAAATGTTAATATGAATCAGACATACACCCAAGCACAGAACCAAGGTCGATATGTAAATATAAAATTTAGGTGATAAAGGTAAAGTATTTCTTATAAATTCATGCATGCATTTTACGACAATTGAATCCAGATTGATATATGTAGAACAAGCAAAGAAACTCACGATTATTTTACAAAATAAATCCATAATATGTAACTAATGGTGTGAGTGCAGTAAGAATGACTCACACCCATATTTCACAAAGTAATATCTTTGAAACATTTTTGTTATAACGGATGAAACATAATCAATGGCCACGTTTTGTAACTTATACTTTCATCATTTAATACAGTACTTCACAGAAGTTCTTGGCCCCTTAGACCTTGGAAATCATGAAGTTCTTCGAGCTGAAACTCATTTCTTAGTATATTCTGATCGACAGAATAAATCTGAGTTCAAATATTTTTCGTATGCCATGATTGAAAGTAAAAAAGAAATCTACTTTTGTGCCGTGGATAACATCAAAAACAAATCAGAAGAAAATGTTATTGTTACGAAAGAAGCTTGTATCGGGTGTGTGTGGTGGGGGTGGGGGTGTGGGCGTGTTAGAACGGAAGACACACACCTACCCCCACACCCAACTCACCCCACCCTCAAATAGATAAATGAGGCAGGAGCATACAGACCAGGGGGAGGGAAGGCGTATGTGGCGTAACACCCACCTGCTTTTGGAATTGCCCATGTAGCACGCGGAGGTGTCACGAGCGAGGTAGGTCTGGTCGTTAACTCACCAAATCTTCGAAAATTTTGTTTTTTTTGCTGTATAATTTACGACAATTTTCTAAAACTTTTCAAAAATCTTCGAAAAAATCGTCGACCTCCCCCAATTCTTCTCACTTCGCGATACCTCTGCTTACGCCCCTCCCCTTGCCTTGGGTGCCTCAGTACGTCCCTGGAATGAGGGTAAAGTCTAAACAAACAAAACAAGGCGGACACTATCATAAATTGTTGAAATGATGCTTACAAGGGCTTATGTGGTGTCAACAATATAGAGATGAACCTTTACAGTATGTTGTTGAACACATTTGTGAACGTTATCCTGTTGCTTGATTTTTTTTTAGCCTTTAATATACGTTGTAAAAAAACTTTTTTAATGTTATTTGTGAAGGCTCGTTACACTACTGTCATCTTTAGCTATCATCTATACCCGTCATTTTTTCTGTTCTGTCAGTTTATTTGTAATTGTTGGTTACTTTTAAACCAGTAATTTTTCTTTCCAGTTCTGTCATGTGAGGGTGAGGAACAATGTTTCAAAATGGAATTTCTGCTTATATATCAGGAACGGTCTGTTGTCAGGTGCTGCGTCTCACATTTCTAGATTCAGAAAAGTAGACTTGATTTTTGGTCTAGAGTTTCACCCAGCCATTATGAGATTCACTGAAATCGAAATTATCATATTCGTTATCATCAGACCATGTACTTTCAAGATGATTCATAAGAGAAAAATAAATGTTTGTTGTAAGACCATTATACAAGGTGTTACATAACTTTTGTCCTTCCCCTCTACAGCATAAAGTATAAATGATATCACGAAGTATTTTATACCAAATTAAAGCTCATCAAAAACTACATTTACGAGTGTAATTAGAATAATTATTGTCTATGAAATTATTGAAATGTCTTGAATTACATGCCAAAATGAACTTGAATTTTACGATTTTCACCAAAAATAATAGTAGATTCTTCATCTCCATCAAAAACTGCATCCATAGGTATATCATTTGTATATTTTTGATGAAAAAAATTTTTCGAAAAATCCTGTTGGTGCCCCTGGGATGTAATCCAGAAAAAAAATTTCAAAGCATTTTTTGAACTGAAATATTTCGGTTTATATATCAATCGACGTAGTTTTTGACGGAAATTACAAATTTGATATTACTTTTGTTGAAAAATGTAACAAAAAAAGGAAAAATTGCAAGACACCAGCCAGTTTAAGTATGATCTTCTCATTTTTGCTTCTTTAATTACATTTTTCAACAAAAGTAATATCAAATTTGTAATCTCCGTCAAAAACTACGTCGATTGATATATAATTCGAGATATTTCAGTTCAAAAAATGCTTTGAAATATTTTTCTGATGTACTCCCTAGGGACACTAACAGGATTTTTCGAAAAAGCTTTTTCGTCAAAAACATACAAATGACATACCTATGGATGCAGTTTTTGATGGAGATTAAGAATCTACTATTATTTTTGGTGAAAATCGTAAAATTCAAGTTCATTTGACATGTAATTCAAGACATTTCAATAATTTCATAGACAATAACTATTCTAATTACACTCGTAAATGCAGTTTTTGATGAGCTTTAATTTGGTATAAAATACTTCGTGATATCATTTATACTTTATGCTGTAGAGGGGGAGGACAAAGGTTATGTAACAGCCTGTAGATCAAGTCTTAAAAGTTTTTGATTGCTTTTTAACAATCATTTAACCGGTTGGTCACGGGAGTATCATATATGATACCTGATTGTTAGCGGTGACATTTGTGCAAGAAATCAGAAAGTCTGTCATCTCTAACGTTTTCTTCGTTATTGTTGTCATCTTCTTGTGATTTAGTAACACGATTATCATGTGTCGATGCGTTCACATGACTGTCCCATGTCCAGCTTTCGAACACATTCTGAAACTTTCTTCGTTTTTCTATTTCTGTCTCTCACGTAATGTTTTCTTACGTTATCTCGTAGAATGGTCCATTTTCGGTACTATGTATAGCGCATTGGGTGAGGTCACCATTTGTACATCATCTCTTTCTTTCTGTCATTTGGTTGACGTCATATATACGTATATGTATTCCATCTATATGTCCGTTCTTTCTGATGTCATGGATCGGTGTATACATATTCGCCTACACTCTTTTTCTTTCTCGTTTCTCTCTACGTTAATCATGTATGTTCTCGCTCGTATTTTCTAGTGAGTTCTTTCTATTGCCGTGCTCGTATATTTAAGAATAAATAAATATGTATTTCAACATTTGAAACGTTTTGCGTAAAACTGTATCAGAAAAATTAAATTTGTAGCCAACCGGTTAATCGCAATAGTTTTTAAACCATCAATTTTTTTATGGCGTTCGATTTATGATTCGTAGTAGCATGCCATCAAGTAATAAAACGGAAGTATCTTCAAACTATTAATTGAGTAACCATTGTACCTCTTGTACTCAAAAAGGCAAAGCAGTACTCACAATTTTTCCGCGGTTAAGAAACTATAACATTAGACAAAAAGTTAATAACATTAACAGCGTGATTGTTGTATCTGTAGTTAGAACTTTTTCCCTAGAATTTTGCGTTGTGATAATGTAAAGGGTGTTCCAGAAGCTCTGAAATGATTTTTAAAAGTTATCATTTTCGAATTTATTATAAGCAAATCTTTTTAAAATTTTTACAGATTGTTGAACCTAGCTAGTAGTACATAACCACAATATTTCAAGTTTATATCTCATCATAATGATGAGAAACTGCACAAAATAGTTCGATTAATTTTTTTCAAAATTTTCCGACAGCTAAAGATGATGTGAAAATGACAGAAAAATTATTATTTCCAAGGCTTCCTACTAAAAGTATCACTAGTAGCCATAGCTCGCGGCGCAACCACAGAGGCTCATTATCACAGAAACCTAGGAAATCATCATCTTTAATTCTTTCACCCATTACGCCGTCAGTCCATCGGGACGTTCGTACGTCAGTCCATCAGTCCATCAATTCATTAGCACGTTAGTCCGTTAGTTCGTTAGACTATTAGTACGTTAGTACGTTGGTACGTTGGCCCGTTAGTCATCCTCAGTGAGAGATGTGCTGTGGGTGTTTCCGAATGTGTCCGTATTTCCGAGCACCCTCAGTGAGAGAGATGTGCCAGTGTCGTGTGCGTGCAGTGTTCACCCTCAATACCAAGGAACTAACGGACCAACATACTGACGGACTAATGTACCAATGTACTATCGTACTGAAGACGTAATGGGTGAAAGAATTAAAGATGATGATTTCCTAGATTTCTGTGATAATGAGTCTCTGCGGTTGCGCCGCGAGCTATGGCTACTAGGGATACTTTTAGTGGGAAGCCTTGGAAATAATAATTTTTCTGTCATTTTCACATCATCTTTAGCTGTCGGAAAATTTTGAAAAAAATTAATCGAACTATTTTGTGCAGTTTCTCATCATTATGATGAGATATAAACTTGAAACCTTGTAGTTATGTGCTACTAGCTAGGTTCGAGTAGCTGTCTAATTCGACTTATAATATAAATGCAGAAATATAACCACACTATTCATAGGAATAGATTTAGTTCCAGTCATAGTTGTATAGATATACATAGATATCCATGTTATTCATAGGAATAGTTTTAGTTTTAGTCACAGTTATATAGATATACATAGATACCCATGTTATTCATAGGAATAGATTTAGTTTTAGTCATAGTTATAGAGATATACATACATACCCATGTTATTCATAGGAATAGATTTAGTTCTAGTCATAGTTATATAGATATACATTGGTGGTCTTTTAGTTAGAGTAGTAGATTTAGTTCTGTTGGTAGTGGTAGAGACGTACATTGAGACAGGTTTATTTATACCTCCACATCTAAACTAAAATCTAAATCTATTCCTATGAATAATATGGGTATCTATGTATATCTATATAACTATATAACTAGAACTAAAACTAAATCTATTCCTACGAATAACATGGGTATCTATGTATATCTATATATCTATATAACTAAAACTAGAACTAAATCTATTCCTACGAATAACATGCGTATCTATGTATATCTATATAACTATATAACTAGAACTAAATCTATTCCTATGAATAACATGAGTATCTATGTATATCTATGTGTATCTACCGTGCGTTTGATAATTCACTGACCAAAAAGAAAATTCAATATCTCAACCAAATCGAGCATTTTTTTTTTAAATGAAAGAGAAATGTTCAAAGTTTATATCTATAAAGACATGCCTAGAGAGATCCTTTTTTTGTATTACTATTGACCTCAACACAAGAATTTTACTTTTTCACAGATAGGAGAAAAACCAATATACGGAGTGGGGCAAAAGTCATTTTGCCAAAAAAAAAATGAATATCTCCATTACGGCTCAGGCAAACGAGCTGATTTTTTTATCAATGATAGAGGTATGTTCAAACTTTATATTCGTAAAGACAAGCCTAGAGAGATCTTTCGTTATGTGTATTGTTTTTTTCTCTATCTGTAAAAAAGTAAAATTCTTGTGTTGAGGTCAATAGTAATACATAAAAAAGGATCTCTCTAGGCATGTCTTTATAGATATAAACTTTGAACATTTCTCTTTCATTTAAAAAAAAATGCTCGATTTGGTTGAGAAATGGTTGAGATATTGAATTTTCTTTTTGGTCAGTGAATTATCAAAGGCACGATATATATCTATATAACTAAAACTAGAACTAAATCTATTCCTACGAATAACATGGGTATCTATGTATATCTATATATCTATATAACTAGAACTAAAACTAAATCTATTCCTACGAATAACATGGATATCTATGTATATCTAGGTATATCTAGGTATATCTATATAACTATATAACTAGAACTAAAACTAAATCTATTCCTATGAATAACATGGGTATCTACGTATATCTATGTATATCTATATAACTAAAACTAGAACTAAATCTATTCCGATATATATCTATTTATTTTATAAGTCATATATGACTGTTGAGGATGCATTTATATTATAATTCGAATTAGGCAACTCATGAACAAATGAGTGCTTTCTTCTTTAAATGCTAAACATCGTAGCCAACATGATTTCATGACTTTTTCGATTAAATCCGCTTGTATTTTAAATATGGAATCTCTCATAAAGAAAAAAAACTGTTTTGGTCTAAAATTCGTTTTACAGCACTCTAGCGGTGATGGTATCTGGTAATTGTCGAAGTTATAACATCAAGTTCATAATTCTAGAAGAAAATATGAACTGGAGACTCTACTTTTATTGGATCCATGTGCATGACAATATTCATTCTAACATATATTAGTTCAATAAGACTCCCTGTCATAGATATTCTCCGGTTTTGATATATTGCGGTTTTTCCGAAACTAATATGACGACATTGAACGTGAATGCATGGTCAGGTATGTCGAAGTAAACTGTTATTATCCACAACCACACTCGTTCATATTGTATATTAACTCGATAAACTTTTTCTTATGTCTGTTCTCTCTTATTTGTTTTTGTTGTCGTTTTGGTTTTGCAGACATTTGTACCTTTCCGGTAAAACTGATGTCTTAGTACATGATATCTATACTTCCTTTTCCATTTAAAATAGATTAATTTGAAAGTTCTTCTTATTAATGGATTTAAAACTTCAAAATTGGTTTAAAGTGGAACTGTTACTGACTCGTTCATGTCATGTACTTCGAAAAATGTTCAAGGATCGTTGGTCTCTGTTTACAGGCCAACAGTGGCTGGATACTCCGGCCAATGGTCATGCTTACACAACAGGCATTGGTCAAAAAATTTATCAAAATTGCCGTAATATCCAAAAAATTATGTTACAAACAGGTGATACAAATCAATGGGATTTAACCACATTACTTAATGTTCTTCGTGAAACGAAATCTAAAAGACAACTTAATAAAGTCGACAAACAAAGAATTGCGAAAGAGAATAATGATTTATTAATAATAACGAATATTCGAAACAACAGTGCTCATCATGCATCAAAATGTATCTCAGACACTGAATTCGAAACTATTTGGTCTCAGTTATCATCAATATTGATTTCATTCGGGGATGATGCGGATGAAATCGCTGAATTAAAATTAAATACGAGTGACGCCAAACAGAAGGAGCCCATTAATACTGTAAATACGATTGAAGCAAAACGTTTGAAAGATCTCGGTAACGAAGCATACAAACAAAAGCACTTTGGTGAAGCAATAAAATGGTTCTCACAAGCACTCGTACTTGCTGGCTTGAGTGATTATGATCGATCTATTCTGTATTCAAATCGAGCTGCTGCATATCTGGAGAAACATGAAACGTCAGAGGTTACCTCGTCGATGGACTCTCGGTATCTTGCTCTACAAGACGCTGAGCATGCACGTGATCTTCGACAAACTTGGCCAAAAGCTCATTTTCGTATTGGGCAAGCGCATGTCGCACTCGGTGAATATGAAAAAGCTGTTCACTCGTTTGATAAAGCTCTTGCGCTCGATCCAACTAACAGTGAAATGAGAAATTTCCGTGATTCTGCTCTTGAAAGAAAACATTACTATGATCGAAAGGATCATCTGAATCGGCAAAATATGCCGAGAACGACTCGCGAGCAATTTAACGAGTTGTCAAAAACATCTGGATATACTATTCAACAGTGTGAAAAAATGATTGATTTTATCAGAAAAGATGATCCAGGCAAAGATGCTGTGTTTACTGGTCATCAGTATCGAGATGGCGATGATAATGTCAAACAAAATTATGAATTAGCTGCCCGATTTTATTCAAAAGCTGCCGCTCTTGGCAGTGCTGAAGGCATGTACAATCTTGCTTTACTTCACCAACAAGGATTAGGAGTTAAAAAAGATATACAGGCTACGATCGAACTGTTGGAACAAGCAGCCGCTCAGAGTCCTACAATGTCAGACAAATTGCCCATCCCGAATATTGGTGTAGCAGAAGCTGAACATTCTTTGGGACTGCACTATGAAACAGGTGTCGGTGTCGAAATGAATTACTATAAAGCGGCTCAATGGTATCAACGTGCATCAGATCATGGTAGTGCAACTGCCGCCAATAACTTAGGACTTATGTACGGTGCTGGCAAAGGTGTTGCCAAGGATTTGGTTAAATCAGAGCAACTACTTCGCTTAGCTGTTACGCGTGGCGATCAAAATGCGGCAATGAATTTAGCTCTATTGTTCTCCGAGAAACAAGACTTTCAAGCGGCAGAACAATGGTGTCTATTTGCAAGTGAAAATAACAATATATTGGATAGAAGCCGTTTGAAACACATTCGAGATGCAGCTGAAAAACAACGTGAGCTGTTTAAGAAATTAGATGTTGAAAATTGGGAAAAACAGAATGGTTTGAGTATTTCTAATTTGAATTATAATGAGCGTATTCAGCGCAAAGTGTGTGCGAACAATCCGTCTTCTGGCAAGGCATTCAGCGCCACACAAGATCTTATTAAGACGTTTCAAACACTGAAACTTGCATCACAACCGTTCGGAGGCAAATCGAGAATATATGACCCTGCAATGCTTGAGGAATATTCACAAAAAGGATATATTTTTGCTCAACGATTGTTAGAAGCACAAATTCATTTTCTCACATCAGTACAAATTCTATTAAATGACTCCATTGACATTAATGACAGAGACACTCAATTTATAAAAGAACTTTCTGCAAGTATTAGGATAGAGCATATTGTTATTCAACTGCCAGAATATTTATATGACGAGGCGAAACTTGTTGTTGATCGCGTCCTTACTCAATGCGGCTCGAAACAATCACAATTAGATGAAGATGCTCGTGTGTGTTTCGGATATTTACATATGAATTCATTGCAGTCTACAATCGAATTTTTGACGGTTTGTATTCGAATGTATCCGAAGTCGCATTTCTTCTTAGAACTTCGTGGCTCTCTCTACGGCTTTCTTGAAAAATATGATGAAGGTTTGGCAGATTTTAATACTGCACTTCAACTGGTTCCCGACAATATAAAGTTATTGTATGATCGAGCTGCTATGTTAAGGCTCACCAAGCATGTTGATCTAAATGTAGCAGTAGTAGCATACGAAATATTTCTCAAATACGCACCAGTTGATCATCGCAAGTTACCTGAAGCATACTATGCAGCTGCGTCGTGTTATTTTATGAACACTGCTTTAAAAAACCATGTTGAACTTGCAGAAAAATATTACAGAAAAGGCATTGAAGCCGAAAAACAGCAATTACCCTGCTTTTTACCCTATGAATCGAACAATAAATTAGTTTTATCAAAGTTCTTCCTACTCAAATCGGCGATGTCTGATGCAGGACCAGGTGAATCATCAATCAACGCAGGAAAACCCAAATCACGTCTATCTGATACACGACGCCTTGATACGATCCAGTGGCATCGAAAATCTATTGCTGAAAAACGTAAATTTTCCTCAGGTTGCAAGCTGATAACCTCAACAACTAAACCTCGTCTGGATCAAAACTCACCTGCATCATTGATTGGATTGAAAGGAATTACACTACGTGAAATGAACCCAGCGAAAGATTATGTTTATCAAGGATATGTATTGTCAGGTATAATTTTCGAGCAATCACCAGTCGTTGAACCATCCATATGGCTGCTATTCGAGGATGATAATGGTGATTTAGAACGACTCTTTATATATAATATTCCGGCGTCTGAAGGTTGGCAATTAATAAAAGATACGTATATTTACGGCACAAAAATAAGTATTTTAAATCCGTATATGCGCATGGCGGCTGATAACAAACCGGCTATTCGTGTGGACGATGCTTCGTCGATTATTTTACACGGAAATGCTCACAGTGTGAAGGATATGTGTCGATGTTGTAGCGAACCAAATGCATCACGTGTTTGTGGCAAATGCGGATCGGCTCACTATTGTTCAAAAGAATGTCAAACAATCGATTGGAAACAATGTGGTCATAAATTAATTTGCACCTGAATTATTTTGAATTTCTCTTCGTAAAAAAATAAGTTTTGTTAGAACAGAATGACCACTCTTATTGAAATGTTAAAACTTTATCCACATCCTATTGGGTGGGTGTGGGTGTGGGTGTGGGTGGGTGTGGGTGGGTGTGGGTGGGTGTAGGTATGGGTGTGGGTGTGGGTGCGGGTGTAGGATGTGGGTGTGGATGTCAGTGTGGGGAGTGGGTGTGGGTGTGGGGTATGGGTATGGATGTGGGTGTGGGGTGTGGGGTGTGAGGTGTGAGGTATGGGTGTGGGTGGGCGTGGATGTTCTCTACTGACACTGCGCCCACATCCATATACACCCACACAGCCACAGCCACAGCCACACCCACGTCTAGTGGCTAGTGGCGTAACCAGAAATCGTCGGGTGGGTGGGCGCCGCCCTACCGGTTTTCGAAAGGTTATCTAAGATGCAGAAGTACGTTTCTTTTTCG